TCATGGATTGGTGAAGACTGCCACTGCCTTGTCCCATCCATGATTCAGATACACAAAAGCCTCTTACAGGGGCATTGGATGTTTATTCCCTAAAACTTGCAGATCTTTGTTAAAGCAGAACAGGACATTAAACTTTGCAACTAAAATAAATGAACTGAAACTCTTAGGTTAGCCTATTAATAATGGGGCTTAAGCTACAGAAAGCCAGATTCTGGCTGGACTTCAGGAAAAACTTCCTGACTGTTAGAGCAGTATGACAATGGCGTCAATTACCTAGGGAGGGGGTGATTTCTTCAAGATGCAGTTGGACATCCATCCATCAGGAATGCTTTAACTTGGAGTCCCGAATCAAGCAGGAGTTTTAATTTGTTGGCCTTATAGGCCACTTCCAACTTCACTATTCTGTGATTCTATAATATTTTCTTTGTTAAATCTGAAGCATTCATTTTATATAAATCAATATAAGCAATCCATTAAGTCAGATAACTATAATGAATGTATATTCATTTGCAAAAGAAAATAAATAGAAGACTCCATGGTTGTGCAAAGCCACATGAAAATAGCTTTTGTTAAAACTTGAAGCTGAGGCAAGACTCAGTGGTAGGGTCATGAAATGAAGAAAACCATGTATACATTCTCACATTCTGCACAGCACCAAGTGATCTGAAGATAGTCTCAAATATAGCAATATAATACAACCTGTTTATAGTTGCAAAACAAACAATTTGGTTCCTATCTGGATATTGTATGTTAACCCATGGTTCTTTTTCCTTCTTTTGAAAGTAATATACACAGTTTAAATGCTATTCTAGAATATCTGTATAAATTTATTTATTTATTTATTTAAATCTATTTATTTATCTCATTTTTGTACTACCCCACAGCTGAAGCTCTCTGGGCAGTTTACACAGTCCATAAAAACAATGATAAAAATACTATAAAAACCAGAAAATCAGAAAAAAATATGTAAAAGGTTTAAAACAGATAAAGACAAATAGTAACAAACAATAACAAGGGGTAACAGCAAAAAAGAATGACTCTGTGAAACACCTGGTGATTTCCCTCAATCCCCTGGGTGGCCTAGTAAGTCTTTAAATGCCTCAGAAAAGAGGGCCATTTTATCCTGGTGCTGAAAAAATGACAGATTCAGCACTAGCCAGGCCACAGTGAAGAGGTTATTCCATAGATGGGGAGTCACCACTGAGAAAGCCCTCCCCCTTGTTGCCACCCTCCACACTTCCCTCAGGTGTCACACTCGGAGGAAGGTTCCAGAGGTTGAGGTTCCAGTAAATTAATATATTTCCTTTTCAAAAATGGAAAAAAATATGCTGCATACAAACTGGAACCACAAACCCAGTGAATCCATCTAATGCATTTTCTGGCCCAAGACATTTCACTGTCTAAAGTGAAGGATACAATTTCCTCACAACACCTTTCTGCCACTGTCCAACTGCTTGCGCTGCTGCCTAAGGCAGCTGTCTCACGCCATCAAATGAAAGGACCAGCTGTACCTTACCTTGTATCACGGCCACATGTTATTGTCCCACTATTTCATTCACATCTCTTTTGCCTCATTATTGTGCCTCCCTCTCTAACTTCTCATTTGGAATTTGTTAATGTTTTCACTACTACTTTTCTGTTTCACTTATCACAATACCATATCCTTTTCCAATATTGAGTGCAGCTTGTCCTTTCCAGAATTCACATGTCTTCTCAGTTCTAAGCTACTTATTATATGGTGATGGTAGATATGCTTCTTTAACAGCCTAAGTCTGCATTTTTTTCTCTTATAGTACCTCCCAACTTGGTGTCCTGTATCAGAGCCCTGGTGTAGGGAAAGCACTTGGAAGTTGGACTACAGGGCTAAGAGACACAAGTGGTGAGAGGATTAAGTCTGCAATCCTATGCAAGCTTACTACTGGGTAAGCCCTTCTTGACAAAGTGGGGGTTAATTCCAAGCAGATAGGCATACGTAGGATTACCTTGAATTATCCCCTGTCCTTGCTCCTCTTTGTCCTCCTCACCACCTTACACATGAATGGGGCAGTCCAACATTTGAAGATGGAAATCTGTCATTGCCATGTTTAGGTTGAAGCTCAATGATCACTAAAGGATCTCCGTTTCCACTTCACTGGAAACAGCAAAAGGTAGATCCCATGTTTTCCATAATCCCAGATGGCTACGAAAAATCTATAGCACTAGTTTATCAGAATAGTGATGTTTACATGTAGGAAAAGAAACTGTTTACTAAGTACTACCTTTATCTTATTAGTTATGCTTTCATGTACTATGATTAAAGTCATACCAAATAAGTTCTAAATAGGCTAAAAGTATTAGAGAAGACAGAATATAGGTAATTTTAGAGAAGTGAAACTTTTCAACTGTGATTCCTCATTATTCCCGGTTTCATTTTTGTAACTTTTATTTGATCTTAAAGTAGGGGCTTTGTATAAATTATCCATCTTTGAACACCTGGTGCTTTCCCAGTTGTTTATTGGGATAAACACAATATTTTGGTTTTGAAGTGTGATAAGTTATACAGTTTGCTTACAGATGTGTAAAATATATTCAATCTTGTATAATATATTGGAATTTTAATAAAAACCAAACTGAAAATGAAATGTGCCATGTCCAATAAAAGCCAATTTAAAATGAAATATGTCACATTGTGATGATTTATTAAATGAACATGATATTTTATACTACAAGTTAAGACTTTCAAAGGTACTGAACAGTGAAATCCATAGCAGTGTCCACTTTGTCAATGGGATTTACTCCAAGCTAAATGTGCATAGGATTACAGCCTGAAGCAACTCAATGGCACTTACTTCAGAGTAGACATACATAGGATTGTGCTTTAAGTGATGGGAAGAACAATCAGAAGTGGGGCCCAGAAGAGCAGAGTGGTGGATTCATCAATGCATTTTAAGGCCTTCCGGCTTGGGCCAGCCAGGAAAGGAGGCTGAAGAGCACAGATTTTTTTGTATTTTTCATTTTATCAGATGCAGGGTCATACAGGTGATCGGAATGAAGTAATTGGGGCTATCCTGGTGGGAAGGAAACTTTGGAGGCATAAAATCCAAAGCCGATCCAAAGTGGTATCGGTCAGACACTGGCTTAATACATCATCTTATGTGTGAACTAGACCTCCATGTGTTGGGGAGGGGCAGGGAGGATCCAATTTGTTAGGCTTACTCCACCCTTGAGAGAAGGCAAAGGAGGAGATTTCAGAAAACCGGTGTACAAAAGGGCATAAAGCACAGAAACTAAGACTGGTGAGATATCTGAGCTCATGTGACTCTACACGAGCTTTTGCCTAAGCTTTGTTTAAACATGTTCCTGGAAGGCTTGCTATGTGTGGTCTGGCATCCACTCAGGTGTCCCTGTTTCTTGCAGAGAAGGATGTTACCTATTTAAATAGGAAAGTCACACCAACAGTCACTGGATTGGGAGAAGAAAATATATTACTAGGGAAGAGATAGTACGCTAATGTGTTGTGATGGTTACAGTCTCACACTGAAGACCCAGGAGAGCCAGGTTCTAGCCCCCACTTGGGCAGGAAGCTCACTTGGTGACTTTGGGCCAGTCATTGCCTCTCAGCCTAACCTATCTCATGGGGCTGTTGTTGCAAGAATAAAAATGAAGTGCAGGAGATCTACGTACACTGCTTCAGTTTCCTTGCATGAGGGAAAAAGGCAGGATTTAGATGCAGTGCAACAACAACAAGTCCTGTTCTGAAGTAGCTTTCTTCTGAGTGAAAGCTTATGAAATACTGTCTCTATACTGAGAAACTTAAGCTAATGAGCCAAACATCTTCATCTTCAACTTCAGAAAAAGTGGCAAAAAGACATAGGGATTAGGTTGACAGTGATCAGGAAGGACTAGATCAAGCAATTCAGGTTCTACTGGACTTTCAAATGTGCAATCTCCAAAGGTGGCGTGCGGAGGGTGGCAAGGGAAATGGAAATTATAGACCCAAACATGAATATGCTGGATAGCAAGATGGAAACCTGGAAAGGTACTTAACTAGCCACTGGCAATGTGTTCCTATTGTGGCATTTCAGTGGAAAAGACCTAGTAAGACTTGTTTCCAGAGAGTGAAGCCCCTATCCCCAAACACCATCTTTTATTAAATAAGATGAAAGGGCAGCTCAGTCTTTATCCCTTAGCAATTATCACCATGTTCAGTGCTTAGAGGGAGGAGATTCTCAGCCTTGCTGGCTATGTGCTACCTCCTTTATCAGAGGTGGCCTGCCTGCATACCTTTGCTGAGGAGCTTGGGCAGAAGGAGGTCTTGCACCCCTGAAGGATCCTGTGGGCAGCTGGTTTGCCACTGTATGTAGAGAAGGCTGGACTAGATGGACCTTTGGTCTGATCGCACATGGCTTTTCTTATGTTCTTATGGTTGTGAGTGTTGCCTGGTTTGCCAGAGTTGTGATATCACAACCTTTCTTTGAGCTGTG